GCACCTGAACATACTTCTGGAGTGAAATAATATCGTAAGCCGGGGGTCCACTGTAATAATAATGCTATGCAAATAGAGGGAATAAAGTTCAGAATAAAGAATATAACCGTAAAATGGCTCAGACTAATGAGAGAATCCTGGGAGTAATCATATTGCAAGATCTCACCTTTAAGGATCACAACATCAAAGAAAATGATAGGCTAGATAATCAAAACCTTCAAAACAATGAGATACCAAGACAATGATGATTCTTGAGTTGCTTCATCTCTCTAGGCTGGAATACTGCTGTACTCTTAAGAGCCTTGTTCAAGACTTGCAAAATTGCAGACCTGGAGAATGTGCAGAGAACCTTCACTGCTCACATAGACTGATAGTCGTGAGTTGATAGACTTGCATGCGAGTTGATAGAATTATCAAAGCTTATTGCTTGGGTAGAATTGAAAATTGGGTTGGGCAAATATTTTGTTAGTGGGATGGATTGTGAAGGACCTGTGTTCAGTCCATCACTCTTGTAGGAAGTGCAGCACAGGGCCAGAGAGGTGGCTTATATACTGCGGTGAGATGAGTCCAAGCAGAAGGAGGCGGGATCACAGTGGGACCTGCCACTAGTGTAAGTAGGTCGTCGTCCATAGGTTGGGCAAGCGTTGAAGTCTTTGTACCAAGATCCCATGATATTGCAGTGTCTGACAGATGTGATGAATGGTTTTGAAAACCGACAAGTTGAAGAATTGAGACACTTATGCAACACATGGGAATCCTTATTGAAGAAACATTTCGCCACACAGTGGCTTCATCAGTCCAATACAAAGTAGAAATGGGTAAGGAGAGTAGAAGTTTTGAGGTAATCAGTCCCTCAACCTGGAATCGATGTGTTCAGTCCATCACTCTTGTAGGAACTGCTTGGACTCATCTCACCGCAGTATATAAGCCACCTCTCTGGCCCTGTGCTGCACTTCCTACAAGAGTGATGGACTGAACACATCAATTCCAGGTTGAGGGACTGATTACCTCAAAACTTCCTGTGAAGGACCTGCCTAGTGTAGGCCAACAAGCCTGTTGCAGTGTTCCTCCTTTCTTATGTTGGTATTGATTGGGTAGCATTGAAGGTGGGCTGGGCAAATATTCTGTTAGTGGGATGTATTTGTGAAGGACCTACCTAATGTAGGCCAACAGGCTTGCTGCAGTGTTCCTCCTTTCTTCTTTTCTTTTAACAAACCGGCCGTATCCCACCGAGGCAGGGTGGCCCAAAAAGAACAAAAGTTTCTCTTTTTAAATTTAGTAATTTATACAGGAGAAGGGGCTACTAGCCCCTTGTTCCCAGCATTTTAGTCGCCTCTTACAACACGCACGGCTTACGGAGGAAGAATTCTGTTCCACTTCCCCATGGAGATGAGAGGAAATAAACAAGAACAAGAACTAGAAAGAAAATAGCAGAAAACCCATGTGTAGTGTGACCTAAGTGTAAGTAGAAGTATCAAGACGTACCTGAAATCTTGCACGTTTATGAGACAAAAAAAGGACACCATCAATCCTACCATCATGTAAAACAATTACAGGCTTTCGTTTTACACTCACTTGGCAGGACGGTAGTACCTCCTTGGGCGGTTGCTGTCTACCAACCTACTACCTAGGTCCTCCTTTCTTATGTTCTTATAAAAACATAAGAATGGAGGAACACTGCAGAAGGTCTACTGGCCCATACAAGGCAGGTCCTTATCAAGCCGACCGCTACCCAAGAATTAACTCCCATACCCAATGACACCAATCAAACCCAGCCCCTCCCACTTGTATATTTGTCCAGTGTCTTCTTAAAGCTACCCAAGGTCCTAACCTCTTTCAGCAAACTGGGAAGATTGTTCCACGCATCTACAACTCTGTTAGAAAACCAGTACTTATCAATGTCCTTTCTAAATCTAAATTTATCCAACTTAAATCCATTATTCCTGGTTCTTACCTGGTTCGACACCCTCAGTACTTTATTAATGTCTCCCTTGTTTATGCCCATCATCCACTTAAACACTTCAATGATATCTCCCTTCATTCTACGCCTCTCCAGAGAGTGGAGATTTAAGGCTTTAAGTCTATCTTCATACGGGAGGTTCCTTACACAGTAAATCATTTTAGTCATTCTTCTCTGTATGTTCTCCAATGAGTATATATCCATCCTGTAGTAAGGAGACCAAAACTGAATGGTATAATCTAAATGAGGCCTCATTAGTGATGTATAGAGCTGTAAAATAACTTTTGGACTTCTGTTACTTATACTTCTTGAGATTAATCCAAGTAATCTGTTAGCCTTGTTGCACGCACTTAGGCACTGCTGTCTTGGCTTTAGATTTCTGCGTGCCATGACTCCCAAGTCTTTTTCACATTCTGTATGATCAAGCTCTACTTCACCTAGTTTATAGCTTCGAGGGTTATTTTCATTACCAAGGACTAGTACCTTACACTTATCCACATTGAAGAAGAGTACAATGACAAGCTACCTTTTCTATAAAGGACACTGAAACATGCCTTCTCAAATCCATCCATATACATTTGTCCAACCTATTTTTTTTTATCCTACCTAAGCCATAGCTTTTGCTGCATCTGACTGTGCGACTGGCAGCCCTGCTGCCAGATGCACGGTCATATGTCGAGCAAGTCGTAAGTCGGATGGTAGGTGTACTTTGAGCTCAATTTCAAGCTATTTTCAGTACTAAAACCAAACAAAATCATCTCTCTTTCTGTAATATATCTTCCATTCTATTAATTGAGACAAAGAAACCACAAATATAACCATAAAAACCACACAAAAATACACCGCAAACTCGGTGTTTTAATCCAAAAACATGGTTGCAGTTTTTTCTCATTATGCACTACGTGGTGCAGGATCTGTTTTATATGGTGTACACTTACCACACAGATCCATTCTCTCATATCTAGGCCCAAATTTACCACAGTTTATGATAAATTAAAGTTGTGGAAGATGGCTAATGTGGTTCCTATATTCAAATCAGGGGATAAGTCCATTCCTTCAAATTACTGTCCAATAAGCCTGACATCTATAGTGGGCAAGTTTTTTTTTTTTTTCAACACACCGGCCGTATCCCACCAAGGCATGGTGGCCCAAAAAGAAAAATGAAAATTTCTCATTTTAAATTTAGTAATTTATGCAAGAGAAGGGGTTACTAGCCCCTTGAGTGGGCAAGTTATTAGAATCAGTTATAGCTGACATTATTAGAAGTCACCTCAAAGGGCAAAATTTGATTAATGTATCTCAGCATGGGTTCACGAGAGGTTGTTCCTGCTTGAAAAATTTACTGTTGTTCTTCAATAGAACATTTGAGGCAGTAGACAGTGATAAAGAATATGATATTGTTTATCTGGATTTTAGTAAAGCCTTCGACAGAGTACCTCACAAGAGACTCTTAAGAAAAGTGGCAGCTCATGGTATAGGAGGTAAAGTTCTAGCAAGGATAGAGGCATAGCTTACCAATAGAAAGCAGAGAGTTTCCATTAATGGGGTCAAGTCTGAATGGGGATTAGTCACTAGTGGCATTCCACAAGGATCAGTTTTAGGCCCTCTCTTGTTCATAATTTACATTAATGACCTTGATGAAAGGATTACGAGTGACATGAGTAAATTTGCTGATGATACAAAGATGGGCCGTATGATTCATTCTGAGGAGGATAGCAATGAATTCCAGGATGATTTGGACAAATTAATGTCTTGGTCTGAAAAATGGCAGATGATGTTCAATGTGGATAAGTGTAAGGTACTAGTCCTTGGTAATGAAAATAACCCTCGAAGCTATAATCTAGGTGAAGTAGAGCTTGATCATACAGAATGTGAAAAAGACTTGGGAGTCATGGTGAGCAGAAATCTAACGCCAAGACAGCAGTGCCTAAGTGTGTGCAACAAGGCCAACAGATTACTTGGATTTATCTCAAGAAGTATAAGTAACAGAAGTCCAAAAGTTATTTTACAGCTCTATACATCACTAATGAGGCCTCTTTAGATTATGCCATTCAGTTTTGGTCTCCTTACTACAGGATGGATATAGACTCATTAGAGGACATACAGAGAAGAATGACTAAAATGATTTACTGTGTAAGGAATCTCCCGTATGAAGGTAGACTTAAATCTCCACTCTCTGGAGAGACGTAGGATGAGGGGAGATATCATTGAAGTGTGTAAGTGGATGACAGGCATAAACAAAGGAGATATTAATAAAGTACTGAGGGTGTCGAACCAGGTAAGAACCAGGAATAATGGATTTAAGTTGGATAAATTTAGATTTAGAAAGGACATTGATAAGTACTGGCTTTTAACAGAGTTGTAGATGCATGGAACAATCTTCCCAGTAAAGTGATCGAGGCTAGGGCTTTGGGCAGCTTTAAAAAGAGATTGGACAAATATATGAGTGGGAGGGGCTGGGTTTGATTTGTGTCATTGGGTACAGGGCTAAATTCTTGGGTAGCTTTGGGTAGGGTCTTTTGATAAGGACCTGCCTTGTATGGGCCAGTAGACCTTTTGCAGTGTCCCTCCATTCTTATTGTTCTTACGTGCAATACTTGGGTATCTTATTGAGGAAATGTTTTGCCACACAGTGGCTTCATCAGTCCATACATGTGTCTAATTTATTGACTTGTTGGTTCTCTTAACCATTCATCTACACCACAGTTTATCTAAGGAAGATGAGCTCATGGTGTTGAACTACGGCTTGGACCCTGTGGACAAGGTGTAGATTTATGGCCTGGACCCTCAGAGGGTTAAAAATTAAGGTTATGATTATAACCATTTTTCTTACTAGTTAGTTTTGGACAAATGAATTCCACTCAGGAAGAAAACTGTTATTCTCCACACGGGAAAAACACTGCATGAAAAAGTTCTCTGCTCTCCCTGGACATGCAGCCTCTCCCCTTTCTCACTGTGGGGTTACACTGTATTCATGGTATTTTCATTTTGGTATCATATCGGTAAAAAAAAAGAAAAAGCAGTTAATTCGGAGGCTTACCTTGGCATGGATATACATGGAGACTACATTGTCGAGGTGAACGAGCTTGGAGCAGCGGGACTCACAGTAGCGGAGGAGAGAATCTAGCTGGAAGAAATTTGCCGCTGCCATCAACTCCAAAACGTCTCCAGCTTCCACCTCCAGGTTCTCGCAACCACCTTTGTAGAGAGACTGCATCACCAGCTACACGAAGAGATTAAGCTTTCTTTAATACATGACCTGCACGTACAGAAACTCCCCTACATACAAACATTTGTATTGCGAACCTTCGATAATACGAACAATGTTTTATTAAATTTGTATTATCTCGGTCTGTTTTATTAAATTTATATTATGTCACTGTTTCATTCAATTTACATTTACCAACTTTATTTTTTTATTTATTTTATTAACACACTGGCCGATTCCCACCAAGGCAGGGTGGCCTGAAAAAGAAAAACTTTCACCATCATTCACTCCATCACTGTCTTGCCAGAAGGGTGCTTTACACTACAGTTTAAACTGCAACATTAACACCCCTCCTTCAGAGTGCAGGCACTGTACTTCCCATCTCCAGGACTCAAGTCCGGCCTGCCGGTTTCCCTGGATCCCTTCATAAATGTTACTCTGCTCACACTCCAACAGCACGTCAAGTATTAAAAACCATTTGTCTCCATTCACTCCTATCAAACATGCTCACACATGCCCACTGGAAGTCCAAGCCCCTCGCACACAAAACCTCCTTTACCCCCTCCCTCCAACCTTTCCTAGGCCGACCCCTACCCCGCCTTCCTTCCACTACAGACTGATACACTCTTGAAGTCATTCTGTTTCACTCCATTCTCTCTACATGTCTGAACCACCTCAACAACCCTTCCTCAGCCCTCTGGACAACAGTTTTGGTAATCCCGCACCTCCTCCTAACTTCCAAACTACGAATTCTCTGCATTATATTCACACCACACATTGCCCTCAGACATGGCATCTCCACTGCCTCCAGCCTTCTCCTCGCTGTAACATTCATCACCCATGCTTCACACCCATATAAGAGCGTTGGTAAAACTACACTCTCATACATTCCCCTCTTTTGCCTCCAAGGACAAAGTTTTTTTGTCTCCACAGACTCCTGAGTGCACTGCTCACCCCTTTCCCCTCATCAATTCTATGATTCCCCATCTTTCATAACCCCATCTTGGGCACGTCCCCCTCCCCCAAAATCT